TGTGCCAGTCTGTGCCATTATTATGTGACAGTCTGTGCCATTATACTATGCAGGTCTGTGCTATTATTCTGTGCCAGTCTGTGCCATTATACTATACCAGTCTTTGCCATTATTCTCTGCCAGTCTGTGCATTATACTACTCCAGTCTGTGTCATTATCCTGTGCCAGTCTGTGCCATTTACTATGCCAGTCTTTGCCATTATTCTGTGCCAGTCTGTGCCATAATACTATGTAAATCTTTGCCATTATTCTGTGCCAGGTTGTGCCATTATTCTGTGCCAGTCTGTGCCATTATACTATGCCAGTCTTTGCCATTATGCTGTGCCAGTCTGTGCCATAATACTATGTAAATCTTTGCCATTATTCTGTGCCAGGTTGTGCCATTATTCTGTGCCAGTCTGTGCCATTATACTATGCCAGTCTTTGCCATTATGCTGTGCCAGTCTGTGCCATAATACTATGTAAATCTTTGCCATTATTCTGTGCCAGGTTGTGCCATTATTCTGTGCCAGTCTGTGCCATTATACTATGCCAGTCTTTGCCATTATGCTGTGCCATGCCATATACTATGCCAGTCTTTGCCATTATTCTGTGACAGTCTGTACCATTATACTATGCCAGTCTGTGCATTATACTACGCCAGTCTGTGTCATTATCCTGTGCCAGTCTGTGCCATTTACTATGCCAGTCTTTGCCATTATTCTGTGCCAGTGTGTGCCATAATACTATGTAAATCTTTGCCATTATTCTGTGCCAGTCTGTGCCATTATACTATGCCAGTCTTTGCCATTATTCTGTGCCAGTCTGTGCCATTATACTATGCCAGTCTTTGCCATTATTCTGTGCCAGTCTGTGCCATTATTATGTGACAGTCTGTGCCATTATACTATGCAGGTCTGTGCTATTATTCTGTGCCAGTCTGTGCCATTATACTATGCCAGTCTTTGCCATTATTCTGTGACAGTCTGTACCATTATACTATGCCAGTCTGTGCCATTATACTACGCCAGTCTGTGTCATTATTCTGTGCCAGTCTTTGCCATTATTCTGTGCCAGTCTGTGCCATTATTCTGTGCCAGTCTGTGCCATTATACTGTGCCAGTCTTTGCCATTATTCTGTGACAGTCTGTAGGTTGCTCTGGGGCTGCCAACAAGGGATAAAGGTAACATTTAAGGCCAGAGTAGTTGGTTTAGAGAATTTTCCCAGTTCACTAATTTGACCTTAAAATTTAATTTACTTTGAATTCTCCCTTTAGTGAATAACCCTGTAATGTATGTAATATCTGCCCGTTTACTGGAATGGGACTTTTATTTTAAAATGACGTTAAACTAACATTTCCATCTATTCTGTTCCAGCTCTGGTATACCAACAGACGGTGAACTGACCAGATGTGTGCTTAGTGCTCCCCCTAGTGGTTATTAAACTAACAATAGTAAATAATTACAAATAGGTCAAATTCAGTGGGGCACGATATGTATTTTCACTTTGAATAACATTTTAACAGGCATTCCAGTACAAAAGAGATCATTCAACAATGGCGGAACAATGTGCACAGTTTAAGAAACAGCAGCTGTAGGAAGTAAGTAATGCATCCTTCGCAATAATACAGCAACTGGTGATAAAACCTACTAAAACCACTTCAAGGGATACAGCGGAGCTGGGACACAGGGTATCACGCATGGTAAAGCTTAGTGCACACACTGCGTTGGAGGCGGAGACACAGAAACTCCGCTGATTGGCTGAGCTTAGAACAATGACACAATGGAAGTCTAGGTCACGGCTCAGACATCCGTGATGGAACAGGATCAGTAAAAAGAGGAAACATTCAGGGTATTTTTTATTATTAATAATAATTATATGAATGCATTATTTCTGTATTCCTACAATGCACGGTTAATTCCTCCCCCGCCGTATGCCTTTAATACATATACAGGGGACATGAGATTTCGGAACAATCTCTTGTATTTGAATCTCTCTCTGTCCTCCACGACCGTTTTATCACATTCTTCATAACCCAATCAATGAATCCACTACACTTTTTAATCAGCTGATGGAGCAGAAAGGCTTTATCAAATGAGCAAAAAGATTAGGCTACACCAGTGGATCCCAAAACTTTACTGGGCCCCTGTTCAGTAGAAATGCTTGCCGTTCAAGCACAGATCCAGAACCTAATCTTGGGAGGGGCATTGGTAGATTATTTAAAGAAACAATACAGGCACAATAACCACTACAGAACTTTTTAGTGGTTATGGTGTCAGTAGTACTGTAGTGTCCTCCCAGAGTAAGTAGTCAAACTGTTTAAGGACAATTTGCCAACTTACCTCGGATCTGCCGGGATAGGGGCTGTAGTAGGGGGTAGAGGCAGTAGTGTGACTGAGGGGTGCAATATGTGTGTGTGTGGTGGAGTGTGTGTGTGTGAAGGGGTGCAGTGTGTGTGTGGGGCTGCATTGTGTTTGTAAAGTATGTAGTGTGTGTGTGAGGTGTGCAGTGTGTGTATGTGGGGCAGTTTGTGCGTGAGGGGTACAGTGTGTGTGTGGGAGCAGGTTGGATGAGGAGTACAGTGTGTGTGTGAGGGGTACAGTGTGTGGTGGGGGCAGGTTGTGTGTGGGGGGGGCAGTGTGTGAGTAGTACAGTGTGTGTGTATGGGAGGGTAATGTGTGTGTATGGGGGGCAGTGTATGTGTAGGGTTATTGTGGGTCTGTTGGGGTAGAAGGGCAGATAAATATATACTTAATTTAAAAAAAATTATTTTCATATTCCCCCTCCCTGCTTACCTTTGCCTAGGAGAGGGGTCAGTACAAGGCAATCCCTGGTGGTCCGATGGAGAAGCCCCGGTGGTCCCAGTGGTAAGAGTGAACTCCAGCAGCCTCATGAGCTTGAAGTGATTCAAAGCATTGCCGTTGTGACCGTGGCAACGCTCCGGGCTCACGAGAGGAGAACTTGGTGGAGCTGCAGGTTAAAGCTACCCCGGGTCCTCTCTCTCTTCCTCCCCTGCCGGCTGCCAGCATCACACTGCGAGCGGGCTGGAGAGGAAGATCTGCAGAGCCGGCAGGTGAGAGGGAGACGCGGTTCATAGCACTGGGATGATCATAGCACCGGGAAAATATTTTGCAGTGATCCTTTGTTCCCGTCGCGGTGCCCCAGGGTGCCGTGGCACACAGTTTGGGAACCGCTGGGCTACATGATAACCAAAACTGATTTTTAAGGAGAACTATAGCATTAGGAATATAAACCTGTATTCCTATTTTTATAGTGCACCTCTCTGTAGCTCTAAATAGGTGCCCACATCTTTCTTTGGCATAAAAAAAATAAAAAATGACTTATCTTGTTTCCAGCACTGAGGCACCCTCGATGTGGCTCACCTCATTGAATCAATCAATAAACAATAAAAAACTGCAATATTTTACATAGCAGAGTTAAGGGTTCATTGAGATCAAGTGGTCTGGGTGCCTGTAGTGTCCCTTTAATATTGGAAAAATTCACCTGCTCTATAACGTTGAATGCATAAATTGCAGGGGAGGATTTGGTGAGTACATGGAGCTATTTAGCCACCTGTTAATGGTAAAAGCTAGTTTATTGGTGTTGTTTTAGCAGAAACCGAGGATTCGTGCACCTAACAGCCTTGCGTTTTGTCATTGCGTTTTGTTATGGGTCTCGGCAGATGGTGATGTGTCTGGTATTACATGGGGCACTCACTAAGAAGCTCAGCAATGCTACGTTAGACATTGGATTAGTGTTTTATGTGAACAGCCAGCACCACAACTACTAAGAAATAATTCTAAAGACCAATACAAATCAAGAACACCCTTTAAAATGTATTATTTAATAATTGTTGAACATGGATTGTGCTGTGGATTATTCACCACGGAGGAGACACCGCGCTGGACTGTAATAGCTGAAGGTGAGGTGTTAATGTGGCCAGAACAAGGACCCAACGCAATGGACAAACTGCTCTCCATAAATTCTCCTGTTATTCACTAACGTTCCCACCTGAGTAAATGCTTTTAGATGTGCCTGACGCAGGTGTATGGATTGTATCTTGTGTTGTGTTCTGCCAATTTTATGAAGATGTCTACTGGCAGAGATTGTAAGCTCAGTTGCCAAAATGAATATAGATACACACATAGCATAACTGCCTTCGTTCTTCCACAATGTGTGTGTACTAAACATAGACAAGCATTTTTTTGTTTTAATTAGGCACACAGTGACAAACAGATACTGAATAACACTATTGCACATAGAATCTTCTTCACATTTCCTTTATCACTTCTAAAATCTCATTCTTCTCAAGTCTCACCAAAGTTGCTTTGCCCATCCTGTCATCATTCTCCTATAATACATTAACTATACACCTTTCTCTACTTCTGTATTTTCTGCAGAATTCCAACAGTTTAACTAAATTCCGAAGGAGAAAGGAGGGATCCAACTGGGCCTTCGGATACAATTTCAGCTCTGGGAGACTTTGCTGTAATATCCTTACATGCAACAATCTCATACAGTGCCACTATGGATGGTAGATTTGTTTCTGGAGATGTCTGGACTGTGCTATGTTTTATCATGCACTTGTGAGCTGCTCAAAGTGTTCTGAGATACATAACTCCATTAGCTATAGGCGATAACATGCATGTTCCTCAGTCTACTGTACCAAGAGGGATTTCCAGAGGTTTCAAAGAGTTACTACAGCTCTCAATCTGACCCTTTTCTACCTCCTTGGTGTAGCAGCATTTAGGTATCCAAATAATTCCCCTTAAAGTATCTCGGAATCTTATACTCACAAAACAGTAAAGGAAGAAATTTACTGCCGTGTTGAGGAGGGCCAGCATGTTCCCAATGTCCATAGCCAGGTGGACCCTCCAGTCTTTATTGACCGAGGACACGTACATGTGGATGATGATCACAATGGTTCTCGGAGCCCAGAGCACAGCAAAGACGGTTGTGATGGACATAAGGATGGCTGTGGTTTTTCCAATGCGGAATTTGAACCTTTTGGACTCTGTTTTCCGCCTCAGTTTACAAACGATTACAGTATTGGTGAGGAGAAAAATAGTGCAAGGGATGAAGTAAATTATGAAACAGTGGAACCATTTAAGAACACGATCCATCAATCCTGGGCTCCGGGGATCTCTCCATACATCACTCCACCAGTAGAAAGGGATTCCAGTAATAAACGAAGAGAGAAACACAATGGCAATGATCTTACGTGTACGTTCTGGGTAAGAGAGCGAACGATATTGCAATGGGTGACACAGAGCCAAGTATCGATCTATGGTCAAAATTACGGTGATCCAGATAGCAGCATGGTTGGAGGAGAATTCAAGAACACTGACCATGTGTATGAAGGCATTGGGCACCCTACGATGAAGAATGGCAGTCTGTAAAATAAATCCTACAAACACAATGAAGACCTGGGTGAGAATGTCTGAGGTGGTCAATGCCAAGAGGTAGATATAGGAAGATTTTTTGGTTTTGGATGCTAGCCTTGAGAGCACCACAGCAGTCAGAATGTTCACTGGAAGAGGAAAAAGAGAGACAAACATTTTTAAAACCTTCTGAAATCAATGCATTACAAAGTGCTAATGTGCCAACAACACGGTATAAGACAGATCTGTTATTTGAAAAGACATAGAAACGTTTGCACCTCTTGTATCTATGTTTAAAAGCAATTTCCCAGCATGGTTCTGACCATGTACGCTTGATTTTCTTTTTTTGTATTTTTAAGTCAAATCATTTTTTTTCAACTGTTTTAATTGCTGAAGAAAACGACATAAAGGAGGAAGTACAGAAACCGTTACAGTTCACTCTAGTGGTTAGTTTACCCAGAGTTCCCTGTACTACAAATTTTAATGTTTTAATATCAAATAATCTACGGAATTTATTGATATAAAATGGGATTCTTGCTGGTTAACCCCGGCACCTCATCCAGTCGGTGTTGTCCATGTTAGAGTAAACGAATAATGAGAAGTTTATATTCTGTGATATCAGTATCAGAGCGAGAGATGCCCTGGGAAGGACCTGGGAAGACCCTTTATTATACAGTTTGATATTAAACCGAGCGACGGTGCCCGGGGACTCTGGGTAATCTAATCACTACACTCAGCTGCACTGGTTAGGTTGCTTAGAATAGCCCTTTAATTCCTCCGAAACAATAATTCACAGGGATATTCCCAAAAGTGTAAATTAATAAGAATTTAAAGTGAATTCAACATTAATTTTATGTTTTAAACTAGAATAACGAAACTTGAAAATCTTGCCAAATCATCGTGTGTTCATTCCGGCTGTTTCGGTTTAAAATGTGAAATTCAGTTTGGATTTGCTTCTGAGTAAATGTTTCACTTTATTGAATAAGCCTCTCTGTGATACTGTACAATATCTCCAGGTCAATTCAATGAGAGCAATAACGATTACTTATCATCCATCAGTTTTTATACATTATAACATGCAACAACTGTATTATGGTTTATCAAGGATGGAAATTACAGTGAAATATTATGCATACACTGAGCAGCATTTCATCACCCAGCACAAAAACTAAAGACGGATCAAGTGTCACGTGGATGTTATCAGAATGGCAAAGTTTATTATTTTTTCATTGGTTGTATGTCTTACACTCAATTGTCACACGCAGCTATTTTTCTGTTAAATCTGGTGTCCAAACTCTACTTTCACATTTTCTAAGAAATACATTATTGTTTGATTAAATTGTAGCAAATTCATCCCTCCCAAGTGTCCCTATTTAGGAGGTGTAACGGCACCCTCAGCATAAAAGGGTTAAACCGCCGTTTAGGAGATCTTCCCCTTCCAGAGACGCAGGCACAGCTACTGCAAAACACCAATCCGCCGAACAGGAAACCATATGAATGCCGTAAACAGCCGAATAGAAAAAACCATACGAATAGGTTTACACTCCTAGCAGTCGAACTGGAACAGCATACAATAAATCCCCCCAAGAACGAGACAAGGCTCTGTTTTGAGGGTCAAGCAGGAACAGACAGAGCTGTGGGTTTATTGTTCTTATATACACCTTAGTACCACCCACAGGGTTTTGGAACACAACCAATAAACACATACAATACAATACACTCAGACACTCCCACACAAAATCCTCTCCTCTGCCTGTGATACAATTACCTTACACAATGGGTAATATAATTATCACAAGCAGAGAAATACAATTTTTCCACATTATTCATAACTTGAAAAGTATGCATCACATTCACATAACATCCGAATTTCAGAATCAGCATACTCCAAATACAAACATATGTCAAAATCATCCAAAATGGTCTAGTGGTTCAAAAGATAGATCGTAGTCCATTGTGACCAAAGGAAGCATGGCTTTTCTGCCCAAAACCAGTTCCACAGAGTCTTCTATCCTGGAGATAATCGGGAAGTAATCCAATTATCTCCAAGGACAGAGGCAAAACTCCATTGAACACATGGCAGCAAAAGACAATAAAACACATAAAACATATAACTGTGCAGCCATTGCACAAAACAGGTACATTCAACATATCCCCAGATAGCTCAGATCTGAGCGCACATTATTACTGAATGGCGCTCAGAGCACACACATACAGTTCAATTGCCATGGAGCCAAAGTCTTTCCCATAGTCTTTCATTATACGAATGGGCTCCATGGCATAGCTATCTGGGGTATCACCGCTCAAACAGGGCCAGCACGGAATGACCCGGCTTCCGTGTCTCCGCAGGGGAAAATCAAGCGTTTCAACATGGGGCCATAGTCTAAAGGCAGCAGACGGGCAACCAGGCTCCTCCAATGCACAGGAGGGACAGTCCCTATTTATTTTCTATCCTAATGTCCTTATTTTCTGTCCAAATATTCCTCTTTTTCTAGAAGCTCCATAATGTAGGTGTGTCTGTGTGTATAACAGAGCTCCACAGCAATAATACTCCCAGTAATGTGTCTGAGTGTATAACAGAGCTCCACAGCAATAATACTCCCAGTAATGTGTCTGAGTGTATAACAGAGCTCCACAGCAATAATACTCCCAGTAATGTGTCTGAGTGTATAACAGAGCCCACAGCAATAATACTCCCAGTAATGTGTCTGAGTGTATAACAGAGCTCCACAGCAATAATACTCCCAGTAATGTGTCTGAGTGTATAACAGAGCTCCACAGCAATAATACTCCCAGTAATGTGTCTGAGTGTATAACAGAGCTCCACAGCAATAATACTCCCAGTAATGTGTCTGAGTGTATAACAGAGCTCCACAGTATAATACTCCCAGTAATGTGTCTGATGTATAACAGAGCTCCACAGCAATAATACTCCCAGTAATGTGTCTGAGTGTATAACAGAGCTCCACAGCAATAATACTCCCAGTAATGTGTCTGAGTATATAACAGAGCTCCACAGCAATAATACTCCCAGTAATGTGTCTGAGTATATAACAGAGCTCCACAGCAATAATACTCCCAGTAATGTGTCTGAGTGTATAACAGAGCTCCACAGTAATAATACTCCCAGTAATGTGTCTGAGTGTATAACAGAGCTCCACAGCAATAATACTCCCAGTAACGTGTCTGAGCGTATAACAGAGCTCCACAGCAATAATACTCTCGGTAATGTGTCTTTAAACTACAATAAATGTGTTTAGAAATCAGTCTGTGTAAATAAGATACATTGTTCTTGTTATGAATTTACATACTTTATGATGTCATTAATACATTTTTATAAGTAGGAGATAAAGTCACCTAAAAGGTCACCTTCAATTCCATTTAACAGGCGCATAGCACCCTTTAAATGGGCCTGTTCGATATATTAAAAATGGCTTTTAAATAAAAGCCTAAGGGGTCAATATAAAATTTGAAAAGCTTCTCCAAATTAAATCGAGGCCTACATTAGGCAATAATTCATCTTATTCTTAAAGATAAATTCAGACTTTTTTCTCTTTTTCCACCTTAGAATCCTACGTGAGCTTTTAATGGTACGTGTGTTCTAATACGGGTTATGAGTCCTGTCTCGTTAGGTTTACACATTGTCCCTGTGGTGTCACACAGTGAGAGATAAACACGCGGCTCAGTTCTGCTCTGTAATCCAGGTCACGTCTGCTTTGCTATGGAGATATAGTGCAATGATTAGGGGAGCACTTTTATAAAGTAAACACACAGCGCGATAACCTCTGTACGCAAGCAGTTACCCATATAAAGCTGGCAAACAGCTCAACGCACAGGAACATTTGCCTAATCTAAGAACACAAGGTCTACGTGCTAAATGACCGGAGAACCCAGTGATGTCATCGGACAAGCTAAGAATGATCCACTTGGCGATAGATCCACATATAAAACGTGCCCAACCTGATTTGATTCACCAGCTGAGCATGGCATAGAAACATCATTTAAATTTGCCATCATTAATTTCTTGCTATGTTTCTTACTAAAATGCAAGATTTATGGTTAGAGGGTTACTCAAAGCATGCTGTGTTATGAGGTTATGATGCCAAGAGCAGTCTGGCCTGTTTCGCCAGTAATGGGGTAAACCGTTTGCCCCCTTACCTGGGTCCCTGCCAGCTCCGATGCCCCTTGGAGGTCCAGCTGCAGAGGTGCAGATGTTGGAAGTAGCGACTGTCAATATTCATTGGCTGAGAGTGTCAGCCGACTGATCAAAGCCATTGAAAGCAATTCTGTGCAAGGAGCTCCTGGCTGGCTAATGACACCCCTGGCAGCTAACGGGTTAATATCGATATGTGCAGCATTTCAAAGCCCTGTTACTTCCTGGTTTGGTTAGCTCAGTGGAGCTAAACTCAAGAGGCAGCATTTGCCCAGAGCACCTGCCGTGTAAAGACTTCTCATTGAGCTGCATTGGGAAGCCTGTGATTGGACAGCCACAGAAAGTCTGGGCGGGCTTAGAATGGAAGCTGCAGACACAGTATCTGTATCTTTTGCAAGCTGGTTTTAGATATGGCCCCAATTAAAAAATACATAATTAAATTCATGTTTTCATTGAGGCTAAATCTACTAAACAGTGGAATGTCCCTTTAAATAGGATTTACGGGGGCGTGGCCGGCAGCCGAGCTACATGGCAGCACACTGAATAGGCTCCAGGGCTGCACGGCAGAAAACCGCGAAAACTGAGGTAAATCATAGAAATGGGGAACCACAAAAAAGCCCCACCGGCATCTCAACAGGCTGGGAAGACCCCGGTGGGAAAATCAAGCACCGTCACCCGCCTGTTCCGAGAATATTCCGACCGCGTGTCGGAAAGCGGCGAAACCATCATGGCGCCGGCGGCAGAGAACGCGGCCATAGATCCGCCGAGCCCCACAGGATCTGAAGCCTCCAACGCTCAGCTGGAGACCGACATCAAAGCTATGCTGCGAAACCTACCCTCCAGAGCCGACCTAGCACAGATGCTGGGGAAATTAGAATCTACTTTTCAACATAAAATGGAAAGCCTCAGCTCAGACATAACCCAGGTAGGCCGCAGGGTGCAGGAACTGGAGGACGAAAGGGGGTCCCACCAATCCCTGATGCACTCACTCTCAACAAAAATCCAGGCCCAAGAGAGGCACCTATCCATGTTACAACGCTCCCTAGACGACCTGGATAACAGGGGCAGAAGGAATAACCTAAGGGTAAGGGGAATGCCCGAACAAGAGGGGGAAAATCTCTTTACCACCTTGCCTACCCTCTTTAATCTAATCCTTAACCGTAAACCAGATGCCTCAGTGCTCCTGGATAGGGCACATCGCTCGCTGAGACCCAAAGCAGCTACGGGCGATACACCACGAGATATAATATGCCGTATTCACTACTACACCCTAAAGGAAGATATATTGAAACATCTCAGAGATACCTCTGCCCCCCTCCTGTTCCAGGGACATGAGATACAGATCTACCAGGATCTCTCCTGGCACACTTTACAAGCAAGAAGGGCCCTGCGGCCCATAACGGATCAACTCCGCATGCGCAATCTGAGATACAGGTGGGGTTATCCCTTTGCTCTCATCGTCAATACCCGCGGAACCACGTTTACGATATCCACGCACCAAGACATTCTCCCCTTCACTAAAGCACTGAAGCTGAATGAATCGAACATCCTGGATTGGTACGCACCGGACCCAGCACTGACCGCACCAGCAGCGCAGCAAAGACCACGTTGGCGATCCCCGGCAAAGAAGCAGAGAGTGCCACAAGCTGGACAGTCATCGCAGGAGGACAGAGGACGGAATAACGTCACAGGACAATAGAGGACCGAATCCACTATATACCAGACAGACTCTTTTGATACCCTTCTCCACCGATCCACAATCTACACACTGACACTGGACTAACCACTCAGACCGGACTACCCGTCTGGCTTGGAAGAACGACTCCGCACTATCAATAACCAGGACTCGGCCCCAGGGCCCATACGAGAACACAGGTCAACCTCAGGTCGTATGTGTGATATGCATTTACTTAATTGTAATTGTAACTGTGACAGTGACATAACCCCACGATACCGGGGGCGACATACAATCACGACTTCGCTAGAACGTAGCTGACCTCATTACCACTCCCACCCTGGGGGAGACCCACATACTTCCCGTGGTGACAGGCAGGTTAGCAGAAATGACAGACCTTGACAAAATCACGCCAAAGGAATAGCCAACCAAGTCTGAAAACAGACGCTAAATGTGTAGACATAAGGAGAAGGAGACAATTAGCCCCGACACGACTAAACGGAAGGGATAAGTGGAGGACGGTCGGGCGACGAGAGGAGGAGAGAAAAAAAACAAAAAAAAAACTACATCTCTCCCCTCCACCCACGTCCTAGACTAACCCACAAACCTTAGAACTACCCACAGTTTTGTCCCTTTTCGTACCCTGTCCTCAACCGAATTACCCCCAGATTTACCTCCACGAAGCAACCATAAGACTACATGCGGTTGCACACCGTGTACCCTACTGACCTTTTCTATTGCAGTAAAGTGACAACAGTAGCTCCCACTGACGAGTTCAAAAATACTCAAAATAAACGTCATACTAAAAACAAATAAAAAAAAAAAAAGTATCGGATATACATTGACACACCACCCACGACCCTCCCCCAACGGGGTCACTTGCAAGTAGCCCTCTGTAAACTACGGGACCTCTCAGGGGCAGACCCCAGTTGTTCTGATAAGTACCACTTAGCAATCGTTATTTACGTACTCTACTCTAATCTTGGGACTTATAGACTGATACGATTTATTGTATATAGTTCTGTTAATATTTTGTTAACGTTTAATTTGTATGCCAACACCACCTGTTGCAGTAGCATCCTCCTACCTATGGTATTTGGCTGTAAACTCGCAAACAAAACAAAATACACCGCTGTGTTCACCATAGACAAAGCCCACCCACCTAGGTCGACATCCCACATACAGTGACCATTCACACGTCTCCGGTACCCCTCCTCCCACCCCCAATATCCCCAAACCTTTCGCTATGGCAACAATATCAGTACTCTCCCACAATGCTAGGGGACTGAATGTCCCTGAAAAATGTCACATGGCTCTCACAGACTACCACAGACACAAAGCAGAAGTAGTATTTATACAAGAGACCCACTTTCGTAAAAACTCTGCCCCCTCTCTTAAATCTAGACACTATACCAAAGGCTATTTTAGCAACTACACAGACTCCAAGTCCCGGGGAGTAGCAATACTCCTCTCATCACACCTACCATTTACATACAAAGAACATATGTCAGATGATAATGGAAGGTATATATTTCTGAAAGGCCTAATGGGATCAACTCCAATAACACTGGCCAATGTTTACCTCCCCAACCGAAAACAATTCCAGGCCCTACGCAAAATACTCAAGAAACTAGAGACCTTCACCGAGGGCATGCTAATTCTAGGGGGCGACTTCAATACCTCATTAGATGGAGCACTAGACACTACCTCCCTGGCTCAGACCTACCAAACCTCAACTCGTGTCCTTATTCAAAAACTGCTAGACTCCTATCAACTCTTCGATTGTTGGCGAGTCTCACACCCAACCGAACGAGAATACTCATACTATTCATACTCCTCAGGCTCATACTCTCGGATTGATCTACTTCTCATGCCACATAGATTCCTGAACTTGGTTAGCTCATGCCAGTATAGCCCAATTACATGGTCGGATCATGCGCCCATCTCTCTCACCGTCACGATCCCCTCCCTCCACCCCACTAGAACGCAATGGAAACTGAACGACACTCTACTCAATCTTCCCGATGTACGAAACATAATAGAGGAATCTCTAGGACACTACTTTGAGCTCAACACACACCCAGACTCCACTTTCCCCATGATATGGGAAGCACATAAGAGCACAATCAGAGGTACATTCATACAGGCAGCAGCTAGACTCAAGAAACAAAGGGAATCCCGCACACTCAGTCTCACCAAGGAAATCAGGAATTTGGAGGAGACACATAAAAACGACCTCAATCTTGCCACCTACAAGGTACTGGTGGAGAAAAGGACTGAGCTCAACATGATCCTTAACGTCAGCACCAAACGCGCCCTAGCCAAAACGAGAAGCACATATTATGCACAGGGGGGTAAATGTGGACGCCTCCTGG